CCTTTCCTTCCCTTTCCTTCCCTTTTCCCTTTTCCCTTTTCCCTTTTCCCTTCCCGTTTTCCTTTCCCGTTTTCCTTTCCCTTTTTTCCTTCCCCTTACCCTTTTCCTTTCCCATTTTCCTTTCCCTTTTTCCTTTCCCTTTTTCCCTTTCCCTTTCCCTTCCCCTTTCCCTTTTCCTTTCCCTTTCCCTTTCCCTTTCCCTTTTCCCTTCCCCTTTCCCTTTTCCTTTCCCTTTCCCTTTCCCTTTTTCCCTTCCCCTTCCCCTTTCCCTTTTCCTTTCCCTTTCCCTTTTCCTTTCCCTTTCCCTTTTCCTTTCCCTTTTTCCCTTTCCCTTTTTCCCTTTCCCTTTTTGCCTTTCCTTTTTTCCCTTTCCCTTTTTCCCTTTCCCTTTTTCCCTTCCCCTTTCCCTTTCCCTTTTTCCCTTTCCCTTTTCCATTTTCCCTTTCCCTTTCCCTTCCCTTTCCCTTTCCTTTTTTTCCTCCCTTCCTCTCTCCTTCCTTTTCCGGGCTGGTTTCCTCTCCTCTAACAGATTCTCTGCTTTTCTCTTCCTCCTCCCTCTTCCTCTTCCTCTTCCTCTTCCTCTTCCTCTTCCTCTTCCTCTGCCCTTCCTGGCGGCAGCCGAAGCGCCGCACGGACTCCAGCGACTTCCGCGCGCTGCTGGGCACCGCGGGATCCGGCCTGGTAACCTTCCTCGCCTTCCTCATCTTCCTCATCTTCCTTATCCCTCCTCGCCTTCCTCATCTTCCTCACCTTCCTCACCTTCCTCACCTTCCTCGCCTTCCTCATCTTCCTTATCCCTCCTCGCCTTCCTCACCTTCCTCATCTTCCTCTCCTTCCTCATCTTCCTCTCCTTCCTCGCCTTCCTCATCTTCCTCACCTTCCTCATCTTCCTCATCTTCCTCACCTTCCTGAGCTTCCTCTCCTTCCTCACCTTCCTCATCTTCCTCACCTTCCTCATCTTCCTCATCTTCCTCGCCTTCCTCACCTTCCTCACCTTCCTCACCTTCCTCATCTTCCTCATCTTCCTCACCTTCCTCACCTTCCTCACCTTCCTCACCTTCCTCATCTTCCTCATCTTCCTCATCTTCCTCACCTTCCTCACCTTCCTCTCCTTCCTCACCTTCCTCACCTTCCTCTCCTCCCTCACCTTCCTCCTCCTCTCCTGCTTCCTCTGCCCTTTCCTCCCACTTTTATCCCCCCGGGGGGAGGGAGGGCCGGGCCATCCCGGGGGGAAAACGCCGGAACCCTGGGAACAGAAAACCGACTCCCGAAAATCCAAGCAAAGCTCCGGGAAAGCCGCGGAGCTGGCGGGCAGAACCTTCCGGAAGGCCCCGGAACGTCCCGCGGCGCCTCTCCCCGCAGGGCGACGCGGAATTCCAGCGGATCATGGCCGTGGTGGATCCCAACGGCAGCGGCAGCGTCACCTTCCAGGCCTTCATCGACTTCATGTCCCAGGAAACCACGGACACGGACACGGCCGAGCAGGTCATCAACAGCTTCCGCGTGCTGGCCGGGGACAAGGTGGGCACCGGGGCTGGGAATGGG